CTCGATGGAAATTTGCCGCTGCTAATTTATGTCTACGGAAAATTTCCTAGAATCTTCCACGGCTGGTTCTTAAGTTCTCTGCCGCTTTATCTTTTCAATGGCGACGTATTTAAACGTATATACTGTTGCACGCGTAAACTGCGAAGGATTATGCAAATTCACGTCGTTATGTACTCTACTTTGAATATTTATCTATAGTTTTACATATTGCATGCATTGCGTATTTAAATTTCGTGTTGAATGAACAAACAAATATATCCGTCTGCATCTACTGGAAACTCTACAATGAATGTCGTTGTATAAATTTTGGCGAATGAAATAGCAAATTTAACTAGGGAATAAGAGCAATCTACTAAATGTTGTAACAGATGTCTTCGCTAAATTTATGCTCGGCAGTGAAACAAGTTACTTTACCTCCTCTATGGCAGCATCGTCGTCTTCATCTTCCTCCGTTAATTCCTTACGAAGAGGCGATGACAGAACTAAGTCTCTTCGCCTCCTGCGTTTCTCAGCATCCGAGAGTGTCCGATCGTTCATCGTCTTGTTCACTGCCTGTCGCAACGATTCTCCCTCAGGGCCTTTCTTCTCAATTTCATCCATCAATCTCCTCAGTATCTTCTTACCCCGATAACCCAAAGAGGTGATTTTGTCCAACACATCTCGGAACACCTCGGCGGACGTGGCTCCAGCTTTCTCGATCTTTTCCTCGGGCTTCATCGTCGTCCTCTCTTCACTCGCCCGATTTTGCAGAACGTCTCCATGCTTGAGCCTCCCGTGTTTCTCTGTCAATTCTCCCGTGTCGTTCGCGACGCTTGCTGCGACGTTCTGCTTCTTCAACACTTGCTCGAAGGTTTTTATCAATCTACTTTCCATTAATTTACTTCTAGCTCCCTGCGTGTCATCCTGAGGGTATTGAGTGGGTGGTTTGTCGATATTGTCCGCCTCCACGAACGTTCCCTCGTAATGATGATGCGGACTCTCCTTCTGCTTCTTCTTCGTGTCGAGAGTTTTCGCGAACAGTTCCGTGAGAATCACTTTCATAGCTTTCGCGTCCAATTCGTGACTGTTGTAATGATGCATGGTGTCCATCGTGTGTCTCGAGCTGTTCAATAGATCGGCGTGGTCCTTGTGGTGGAACTGCACCCCTTGCTGAGCTCTCTTCATCTTCTCTGGCTCGTTGCTGGGACTCTCGCTCTACGAAACGGATATACACCGGCTATCGTTCATTTTCGTTGTTTCATATGTCTATGTTTACGCGATACGAAACATCTGTTACCTCGAGTGATCCGTTCACTGCAAGAAAACCGGTCTCCTTGGCAACTTCCAGAAGTTCCTCCAATTCCTCGCTGCTGTCGTCACCGATGAAGGCACACTCGTGAAGATGCTTATGACCCCGGATCATGGTTAACGAAGCACCGGGCCATCTACCACGAAGTCCACGAGTCTTTCTTGATTAATACTTTCACAATTCTACGCTTTATTTCGACTTCTTTTCTTTCCCCCTCCCCTCCCCTTTGCTGTTATGTCATTGTTACCTGACGCAAGTGGAAACGGTGACGCTGCTACCACGAAGAAGATAGAAGCCCCAATATTCTTTCATGTCGTCCTCTAGAATCAAATGCCTCGTCATTGAAACAGGCAGAAACTCGTTCTCCACTTTTGGCTCGTCGTTCATCAGATAGGCGTTGAACGTCGCGTTTACTTTGATCACCTGACTCTGCGAAGAAATGTTTTTTTTTTTTTTTT